ACTGCAAAAGCATCGCAAGCACAAATTCAGGTAAATCATCTATCCAGGGGCAGCAATTTGCATACATGGAAATCTGGAGAAAACAAACTAAAAGGATCCATTTATACAATTTCTATACTTAGGGGGCACGATAAGGAATTCTATTTCAGCAGCAGACACAGATAGAAAGCCTGGGAAACCTGTGGTGTTGCATTAGAGGTGAACAGAGAATTACAAAATATTTTATTATAAATGCTCCAGCTTAAAGACTGAATTTCAGCAGAAGAGACAAGTCTGTGTTTAAATAGTATGACAAACTAGAACCTGAGCATTGCCCTAGAGATGGATATATGCACTGCCCAGAGGTCTGGACTACACCAGCTAAAATGAAGCTCACAGTTCCCCCCTCCAAAAACCAGTCTAAAAAGCAAACCAGTACATTACACATGGGTAAGTGGATCCCTATCACCTAAAAAGGAACTGCTGCATCAACTAAACCACACTGAATTGAAACTTCTCATTGAAATATTACATATGGCAAACACAGCAAATCAAGCAAGCTTGAGCTTCAGAGCTTTTAAGGGATTTTAAGAGCAAACACACACTGTTCAATAAAGACATCCTCTCTTTCCTGCTTCCAGGCTGCAGTCACTCCCCAGTCGAGATTTTCTAGCATTTTGCAGAAGATTTTTCTCACATTTTCCTGATGGCTGCTAGGAGGCTGGAGCTGGGCAATGGAAATGCAAGATGCCATGTCTGTCTGACGTGGCAGTTCTTTGGTTGGATGTTTGCACTGTTCTCAAAGCCCACCAAGAGAACCATCACTCCTATTTACTACCTTTGGATATCGAGATCTTAGCAAACTCTGCTTTTCAGTGCTCAGCCTCCCTCTCAATGAACAGCCTCACGTTCCTAGTACCCAGCTTCCACACATTACTTCTAGTATGTCCATGGTCCAAAATGCCTGCTCCTATGAATGCTCCATACTCTTTCCCAACACATCTGACTCATGCAATGGTTCACTTCACTGACAAAGCCAAGTTGTAACCACGAGTACAGAAGGGGTGTCCTACTGTGGGCATCAGTCACCAAATCCCAACTGTAGATTCATCATCTTCACGTGTCCCTGCATTAGCCACAAAGAGAAATTTCATTTGCTTTCAGGCTCCTGACTGACCTGCAGGCACAGGTGACTAGGCCAGCCATGGTTTGACTTGTGCCTTTAGCAAGATCCATTTGCCAGACATCAGCAATGCAGTTATGCCATGGCCCAGCGTCCTCCTGTCCTGCCTGGGCCCCCCAAGTCCTTGTGCCAACACAACCACTTCCGTGGCCACATGGAGAAGCTGAGTGATGGCTAAAATTAGCATCTTTTTTTTTTTTCTTGTTATTCTGCAAGATTATTCTTAAATTATATGGATGTAAGAGATTAGAAAATAGGACCAGAAGCAGAACCACTTCCACAACAGCACCAGCTTCAAAATTGATTTGCAAGCTATGTTGCAAAAAGCAAGAAAGCCAGCCTCTCTCTCTCTCTGCAGTCACAAGTTTTTGAGTTGCACTTTGAGATTCCCTTAAACGTGCAGAACAGCCCCTCAAAACTTCACATGTGATGGCATCATAAGTGCAAAATTCTAAGCTCCACATACTCCTCTTGCCAAGATGGGACAAGCCCGGGAGAAAATTTCTAGGTCAGTAAAATTCTATGAATAACACATAAGTCTTATGCCAGCCATTTCCCAACAGAGAATAAGAGGGCAGAGCAGGCCCCCATTGCTTGTGACGTGGAACTCAGCACAAAAACCATTAGAAAATCCTCTGTGTGGACTCAACATCTCAGAGGGACAACTGCCCAGTACCTCTACTGTCAGTAACCTTCCTGCAGCACATGGTCCAGCACTGGGAGGGAGGGATAACAGGTCCAGATCCACTCCCTCTTTCTCCATGTGGGTCCCTCACTCCCCCACAACAGAGGAAAGGATGTGGCACGCTGAATTCTGCTGACCTGGCCAGATGCTGCAGGAGGTTGGGCAGGACAGTTTACAGCACCTTGTAGCTAATTTCCTTGCTGACCACCACGTCTGCTTTGGGCCCCTGCCAACATATCCCAAAAAGCCCTTAAGGTAGTACCAGATCTGCAGCGGCCACACAGCTGTAAACAGGCTGAACCAGGTGCACACATAAAATTCAGCTGCTCCTAGGAAGCCCAACTGAGCGCAAAGTAGACTGCTCCTTCTCCTGCTATCAGCACATCCCATAATACCCAGAAGCTTCAGCACAGTTCATTGTCTTTGAAAAAGAAACACTCAAAACACTGAAATAGTTCTCAAAACTTTTCTGGGCCATCTCTACTTTAAAATTACTTTATTTAAATATATACCATGTCTATATATACACACACACCAAGGGAAATCAGCACCCGTGAGCAGAGCTGGTGCCCACACACTGTACCTCTGCACAGCCTCTCAGGTCTGCCTGTGCAGCTCCACACCAGAAAAACCCTAAAGCAAACCAGAGCCGCTTGAAGCTGCCCCAGGAAGATCCTGCCCCACTGGCAGGAGCACTGAAAAGACCACAGCCTGCAGGCTCTCCACCAGACTTGCTAACACCCATCCTTCTTGGGGTATGGGGAGTAATGGGGGCAGGGAAATTTTAAGACCAAATTACAGAGTTCTTTAATTCCTTCACTTCTTCATAAAGCTGAACGTAACCCTAACCCTAACCCTAACCCTGAACCCCCCAAGTCCTCCCTTCAGAATTTTCTTCCATCCCAGGACCAAGACGCATGATTTGGATGTTCTTTAGTAAATAAAGCTCCAAGGAGCAGGACTGTGCCATGTAAGGCCTTTCTCCAACCTAGAGAGCAGCACCATTGCAGCTTCCACATACTACCTTAACAGCAAAACACCCACAAGGAGGACCCACAGGGGGAAAACATCTCTGCAACCCCATAGAAGCTGCTCTGTGGAAAATTGAACTGCATTACTTCTGCTTCTGTATAATCCCAGAATAACTAGCTTAATTCAGACTGATCCAACACAGACACCCGATAGTTTCAACATGGTATAGACTATAACCTCACTCTAATTACAGGATCATGTTACATGTCCAACAACTGCTGCAATTTAGTCTTGCCTGATACACCCCAGCTGAAAATTGCTCATCCCACCTCATACTCTCTTACTTTTTGGCAACCTTTGAATGGAGGCAGGGATACCTCGCAACACCTCAGCATCTTACACACTCGCATCCCAAGCCCCATAAAGATTAAGTCATTATTTCCTTGCAGTAACAAAGGCAATGACTTCCATCAGTGCAGAATAAACTAGTTTTGGGGAAATAGCACAGACACGACACTACTGTTCATACACTTCTCTATGCAAACACAATATAGGATTATAGCTAAGAGCCACAACACCACGAATTCGCACATCACTCCCCGAGCCCGGTGCTGATCGCACACGGAGCCTAGCTGAGCAAGAGGGGAGTTTTCAGAGGCAAAACCTGCAGGACCAGGCAGTCGGACTTTCACTACATTAAAGGCAGGAGATATTCCTTACAGCAGCGCACGTCTTGCCTTTGAGCTCAAAACTGCATCCACGGCTCCCGCTGCCATGAAACGGGAAGGTTTTCTCCCCGCAGCCGCTCTGCCGCGCCTGAGCCGAATGTTAACAGGTCTCTGCCTCGCCTCAGCTCCGCCACCGCCTCATGCTCGGCCGGGGAACGCTCCGCTGCCCGGGCGGACGGGCTGTCCGGCCATGGCCCGGCGATGATTCAGCAAGGGGGTGGCTCCCGGTGAGAAGGCACACCTCCTGCGAGCTGTCACACCGCGGGGCCGGGGCAAAATGGGAGAGAGAACTTGCTCTGTCTATCATGGCTGCACTTTTCAAAATGCGTAACCTGGCCTGGTAGGGGCGAGGGGGGCGAAGGGGAGAGGCGGGGGTGTATGCTTCTATCAGCAGGCACATGGGAATAATTGAAGGAAACATCTCGAAGCTTTTACCGATGGCACAAGTAAATGAAGGAAAAGAAAAAGAAAGCCAAAAAAAAAAAAAAAAAAAAAAAAAAGCCAGACACTTTGGGAGCCAGCATCAACTTCGCCAGGCTGTGTTCTTTGTTTCTAGGCAGACTCCAGTGCGGTGGCAAGAATGAACAAATGCGCATGTCTTCATAAGAGTCAAAAAAAAAAAAAAAAAAAAAAAAAAAGGAAAGAAAAAATCCCCCCTCCCCTCCAGCCCCTCTCTCGCCGCTGCGGCGGCCGGAGCCCTCCGGAGAGTTTGGGCTGCTGTTCCAGAACTACAACTCCGCTTCCCGCTACTCCGAGCAGGGGCTTGCCACGCTGCCAGGAGTCCGGGGGTACGGCAGCGCCTGCAACACTTTCGGCTGCAAAAATTAGTTCTGGTGTGGGTTTTGTGATTTTTTTTTTTTTCCTATTAAAGAACGGAACGCCGCCCCCGCCACGCTCCTACCGCGCCAGCCGCCCTCCTCAGCCGCCCGCCGGAGCGGAGCGGAGTCCGGGCCCGCCGCCGCCAGACAAAGGAGCGATGCGGAGCCGCGCCAGCACCCGCGGCCAGCCCGCCTGCGCTCCCGGGACAGCCGCAGCTGGACCGGGATCGGGACCGGGACCAGCCGCCGCCGCGCCCCCTCCCCGGAGCGCGCCCCCCGTCCCCGGGCGCCCGCGGCTCGGGGGGGGCACCGAGCGCCCCGCGGCCGCCCCGGCCTTACCTCGCAGGCAGCGGCGGCCGCTCCGTGCCACGCGCGGCGGCGCGGGGCGAGCCACGGGGGCCGGTTTAGCGCGGGGGCCGCCTGCGCGCCGCCATTTTAACGCCTCCCGCCCGCCCTCCGCCCCCCTCACCCCCCTCTCCCCCCCGGCCACGCGCGGCGTGGAAATGCCACTCAGCGTCCCCCTCGTCCTCCCCGTCCCCGCCGCCCCCGTCCCCGCCGTTACATTGACGCAGCGGCTCCTGGTCGCCGGGCCCGCCGTGGCGGAGCTATAGCAGCAGGGCAGCAGCAGCAGCCGCCGCCGTCGTGGCCCCTCCGCCGCCGCCTCCCGCCGCCGGGCGCACATGGTACGCTCCGGGGCCGCGCCGCGCCGCGCCCCGCCGGCCGCGCGCGCCGCCCGGCTGCTGCCATGGCAACCGCCCCGCGACCCCCGCCCCGCCGCGACCCGCGGGACGCGCCCCGGGCCGCCGCTCCCGCCGCCGGCCGGGATGCACGGCCACCTCCCGGCACCGCACCTCTGCCCGGCCGCTGTGCACGCACACACCGCGCTCCCGCACCCAGCCCACCTGTCCCCAAAGCCACCGCCACCTGCTGAGCGGCTGCATCGCCACTGTCCCCGAGCCACCGCCATACCTCTCTGCCGTGTCCCCTCCACCCCCAACTGCCCTCACACCTCCCTGCCGTGTCCACTCCACCCCCAGCTGCCCTCACACCTCCCTGCCGTGTCCACTCCATCCCCAACTGCCCTCACACCTCCCTGCCGTGTCCCCTCCACCCCCAACTGCCCTCACACCTCCCTGCCGTGTCCACTCCATCCCCAAAGCCACCATCGCACCCCCCTGACGTGTCCCCTCTATCCCTGAAGCCACCATCACACCTCCTTGTTGGGGCCCCACTGTCCCCGAGACCACCGTGACATTCCCCCACTGAGGGGCTGCATCCGTACTGTCCTCACATCACCATCAGGTATTCCTGCTGTGTCTCCTCTATCCCCAAAGCCACCATCACACATTCCCACTGTATCCACACAGTTCCCAAAGTCACTATCACATGTCCCCACTGTCTCCAAAACTGCCATCACACCTTCTTGTTGTGTCCCCAAAAACAGCATCCCATCCATGTTCTAAGGGGCTGTAGTCCCGCTGTCCACAAAGCCACCATGATACCTTCCCACTCGGTGCCCTCAGTCTCCAAAGCCAGTATCACAGCTCCCTGATGAGGGGTTGAATCCCTATTGTCCCCAAACCACTGTCACATATCCCTGCTGTGTCCTCTCTGCCCCCAAAGCCACCATCACACCTTCTTGTGTGTCCCCACTGTTCACAAAGCCACCATCTCATCCCCAGCATTGTGTCCCTACTGTCCCAAAGTCACCATCAAATACCCCCCACTGTGTCCTCCCTATTGCCAAAGACACCATTACACCTTCCTGCTCTGCCTTCTCTGTCCCCAAAGCCACCATCATATGCCCCCACTGTACCCAAAGTCACCATCATACCTTCCCTCTCTGCACCCTGCGTCCCTAAAGCCACTCTTACATGTCCCCACTGTATCCCTGCTGTTCCCACGGCCACTATTACACTTTCCCGCTCCGTTCCTGCTGTCCCCAAAGCCATCAGCACTTCCCCCAGGGCACACATCCTTATGTCCAAAGCCATCATTGCACCCCCTCGCAGAGGGGCCGTATCCCCGCTGTCCCCAGGCAACCATCACATCCCCCAGACACATCTCATTTGTCCTCAAAGCCACCACCACAGCCTCCCGTCGCCGAAGCTGTTGTCACTCCACCCCCTCCCCACCTTGCCCGGAGGGGCCGTGTCCCTGCCAGGCTTGGCCACGCTTACCTGGGCAGTGGCACAGCTCTTCCCCGCTGCAGTGCTCATTTTCACTCCTGTTTTGCAACAGAAGATTGCGTACGCCAGGACAGTCGCGAGGGAGAGTAGGCGCAATGTGAAGCAGATGAGCGAGTAAATCATGAAGCCGCCGTACATGTTCTGCATACTGCAAACGAGGAGCTAATTTCCTGGCAGCCGGCTTCAGGATGCTTCAAGCCTGTCTCTGCCGATGTGGCCCTTAAAAACCTCTCAAGCTGTGGCTGCAAGCAGCCCTGTTCCTTTCTGACTTTGGCATCTAATTCCCGCAAATATAGATAATTGAATTACGCATTTCGTTAGGGCGAGCGGAAAACAACCAGCAACCACTGGATCACTGAGGAAGACAAAGTCAGTCACTTTTTTTTTTTTTTCTTAATTCAGCATTTTTTGGGTTTTGGTGACATTTTATCAAGTATGACCTCAACCAGAGGCAGAGAGAAGCAGCTGAGGGTTGTTTATTGCACACAGAGTAGCTCTCCCTGACAGCAGCACTAATGGAAATAACACTTACAAAACTGTCGTGTTCGTGGTCTGAGGAGCAAAACGTGAGCCCTGGTTTCCGTGCCTTGTTCTGACAACCACTTCCCCAGTGAGCACCAGCAGACCACTTCACCTCCCTTCCTAGTTACCACTGATTCATAGTTGAGATCAATTAGTTAATGTTTGCAAAGTCAGTTGAAGATGACAAAGCGTTACATGCTGCTAATAAAACCATAATGATCCCACTGTTAAACATTAAACACACAATGAGGTGTAAAAAAATACCACATTTATGGAAAATTCCTGCAAGGACAAAGGATTAGCTCCTAAAAAAAGGATGAGCATAAATTTGTACCACAGGATTGCATCTCAAGGGTTTGGCTTCTGCTTGAGTGTTTGCTACTGATTATTTGTGTGTCCACGGGCACACCACTAGGGCCAGCAGTCGCTGACCCACTTGAACGTGGCAACTTAATCCAGAGCTAGCCAAAAACCACCAGAAGGTTTTGGAAAAGGATGTTCCTTTCCATTTTGTGCCTCTGCTTCCCAGTCTGCTAAACGGCATGAGGATTGCAGCTGTGTAGCCTGATTTTTGCAGGCAACATAATGCAGCAGTTAGCAAACCCTCACAACATGGTCATTAGAAGCCTGGGGAGCTGTGCTGGCTGTGAGACACGTCACACCAGAGTGCGAGGAATAAAAAAGTGGGCGTGTGGGACTTTCTAGGAGATTTTTCTTGGCAATGAGTCTTGCTTTAAATGTAGAACTGGTAGCTGTGCCACTGGTAGGGCCCCAGGTCGCCGCATGTAGAGCAGCGCATGTCTGATGCTCTGACCTACAGGCAAGAAGGAGGAGAGGAACCAGGAAAACCACGTTTGTCTGTAGCTTTGGGCCTGCACGGGGCCACATTCATGGTGATGAGGCACTGGTGTTTCTGGCAGGGCAGAAGCCATGGGTGGGGATTTGCACAGCAGGAACTCCAGGTAGTGTAGGATTTGGCGCAGCAATTTCAGACAGGAGAACTCCTCTCCAAAAAGAGCAGCCCTTTGACAAGGCATCCCTCATTTCCTCCATCAAACTGCCCTTTGCAAGGAGCACGCCTGAGCTGCAACAGCCTATTGCATCTTCCTCCTGAAATCTGATGCTGCCCTGCTTTGATGGCGATCAGTTGATGACTGCAGAAAAGCTGAATCATGAAAGAGAGGTTATAAACAAGGTTATTTTTAACAAAGGAAATGAATCCCACATCATTCAGAAGTCAGGGCAAGGGACTGTCAGCTAGGGCTTGCAGGTCCCACTTCTGCCCCGACGTTCTTTATGTCCTGGAGCAAATTAAAATCTCTCTAGCCTTTAATTTACCTCCTTGTAGCATGGACAATGCAGCAGACTCCAGTTGTGCTTTCTTTGTACAGCAAAGCTCCTGGTGTGACAATAAAGCGATGCTGGGAGCTGTGTGATGCCAAGGGCTGGCTTGCACTGCCACCCGGCACCTTGCAGAGCTATTTTCAGCCATGCAAAACGATCGCACGCAGTATTTCAACAATGTTCATAGACATTTCAAATGCAGAGAGAGACTAACCAGTCTGATTCCTCTCTCCCATATTTCACAGTCTTACATTTCAATTCCCACATGAAGCCCAGTAACTTCTGCTTCATTTTGCTCACTGTACACTCAAAATAGACAAGTTTTGCAACCCAGAGACTCATGCTGTGTCCTTCAGGCACTGGGGTGCTGCTGATGTGATATAGGTAACCAGCCCAGGGGGAAGGAAGACGGGTCTGGTTTACCTACAGCTACATGGGAAATTTCCTGAGTATACTACTTTCTCGCATTTAAATTCTTCCAAGAAAAGCATATTTCATTTTTCCTACAAAAGATGACTCCACTCAGAGAAGCAGGAGATTGAGGCTGGGGCTGGCCAGGCTTCCAAGAAATACGAACAACTCCACATAGAGATCCTTGCAAACCTGTCTTCTCTGCTTCATGCCCAAGTTAACAAGTGTTTTGGGTGTGTCTTCCCAACATTACAGAGATAACTACCAAGGTTAAAGAACTCTAGATTTTTTTTTATGTTTTGTAAATATTCGTATTTTAATATATACACATGTGTATTTACAAAAACTTTAGGAGATTGTAAACTTCCCTGCCATACTTACTCAAAATGCTGTTAAAGAGGACTTTTGCTCCTGGAGGAGCTCACTTTGCTCACTCAAGTTTTCTTTAAGTAGGGACTTCCACACAGAAAATATCAGATAGAACCCAAAGCAGAAATGGGTTGGATGCCAAGTATGTTCTGTTCCCCCTGGCCCACCTTCACCTGCCTGCTGTGGAAGCAGACACCAAACCTGCACTGGCTTGGGGGACACAGCAGAGCCTTAGCACAGGTGCCCAGGAACCTCCAGCCTGGTTGGGAGAAGTGGAACAGGACCAACCCTGCAAGCCAGTTCCCTCTTGCTGGTGCCTGCAAGGACATGTGGCTGTGTGCCAGCAGATGGAATAACCATTGCCCCGTGCTAGTTATGGGGCAGGGATGCTGCACGGCTCTGCTAATTAGTGCCTGAGACGCCTCTGTGATCTGTAGATGAAAGGTGATTTACAGCTGCTAATTATTGCTCTCCTTCATGTGAAGTCTATTATTTCCTGGTGTCCCTCATTTTGACTCATGCCACATCCCGTATTTGGCACAGGGCAGGTTCCTCATAGAGGTGGTGCTTTGCATCTCCAGCTGCCTGCACACTGAACAAGCCTGAGATCTGCTCTCAGCGTCCATTTGAGGCAGCCTGGCTGTGCCCATGCTTGGGAAACTTGGCCTGGAATTTGCATAAAGTTACAACATTTGAGCAGGTGCTTAGCTAGTGGATTGAGGGGGCTGCATTCAGTGCTGGGTACTCAGCTGGGCTGTGCACTCAACTCTGTGAGCAGAGGACCAGCTGGGTGAACCAGAGAGGAGAAACAGGAATATCCCGAACTTCTCTGCTCGGGACTGCCCCAGGGAAGGGGAAGAAGCCAGAGAGGACCAGACTAGGGCCTCTTAGTCTATGGCTTCTCATCTGTGTCCCAAACCTCCTGGGCAGGAGTTACAAAGCAGGAGAGGTTCGTGTCTCTGGCAGGTGTCTGGAGGGAAGGGATATTAACGTGGTTTTCTGAACAGCCCATGGATAGCAGAAGGAACAAGTATTTTCAATGTCCTTCCCATGTTATGCCCCATGGCACATACAGGTTGCAAAAGCAAGTGACATTTTGCTCTTATTGCAAAATAAAAGAGCACAAAGTGACACATGGCGTAAGGTAGTTGTAACGACAGAGGATGAAATATCCCTGATACTCTCCACCAAAACAATTCTAGCACAGAGTAGGATTTCCTTCCCCCTCACTCACTGTGCAGCTCTCCAGCTGGGAAGTAAATGGCCACTCACACAAGCAGGCACAAGGCAGTCAGGGATTTTTACAACTGAAAGAGATCTACCTCCTGCCTAGCCCACAGCAGTTTCCACCTTCTTCCCTGAAGTCCACAAAATTTTAAACCTGCAAATTATGAGACTCTCAGGCAGCCTCACGTACCAGAGAACAAGGAGGACCGGATGGGGCTTCCAGTCCCAGAGCAGCCCTCTCTCCATCACCCTGTTCCCTTGGTTCCACCAAGCCCTTCCAGCAGCTGTTTGCCTACACAGTGAATTGGTCTGGGGCTGCTGTTACTCTCCCCATGGACACAACAGTCACACTCTAATTCCAGCTTTGGCTTGCTCTCAACAAATCCATTTAGGTCCTGTGCCACCTCCCCGGGAGCCAACGACGGTAAGAGGCCTGCCTGTCCTCTGCAAAACCCCACTAACACAGATGTGTGACAGGAAGGAATCCGAGTGCTGAGCAGAAGCCAGGTTGCAGAGCTGCACCCCAGTGGCAATGCAGGTGCGTACAGAAAGAGGCTATTCCAGCAGTGTTTGTGCCGAGGGGGCTGATGAAGGCTGCAGCAGTTCTCTGGGCCAGTGTCACCCTCACACCCACCTGCAGATCCCTTTGTGGGGGCCATGAGACCCATGGTCCCTGCAGCCCATGCTGGAGGAACTTGGTGCTTCAGGCTGATGTTGTGACACCCTCCCCTGCTCCACATTCCTGCAGTGTTGTGAATCCTCTGGGGTACTAAGAAAGCCACAAGCTAATTCCTTTTCCTGCTACAAGATGATCAACGGAGTGAGTCAAACACTGCTATGGGGGGTGTGGTTACTCATTAGAGGTCCCACCTATGCTGCAAAGGGAAAACACAGAAAGATCCCCACCATAAAATCTGCCTTCTGCTGTGTTGTATTTTTTTGCTGCAACATTTTCTTCAGAAGGTTTTGTCCTGAATTCCTCAATGTGTCAGGGCAGAGGGGCCTTGAGTCCCAAGTTGCTTTGCACATCATTCACCCCCATGGCAGTGAAACCCAGAATTTGCTGGGACAGGGTCCTGCATTGTATTCCTGCACTTCTGTATGGATTCTACTACCTATGGGAAATGCTGAAAATACATCTTCAAAACCTAACCCTGTTCAAGTAGAAGCTGATTTTAATGGTCACTGCTGAGTACTAACCTTAAATGGGTTACCAAGGAGTGAGCAGAGACACAGGCCATGAGCACTGCTTAGAAATTGACATTTTACATAAAAGGTTGATAAACCAGGATCATTTTGACACCTTCAAAAGGATAAATTATGGTAGAGTATTAGAATTCTTTTATTTTTAGCAGCTGAATAGTTGCAAATAACAGTTTTTAATAACCACAAATGATGACATCAAACTGCCACACCCCTAACTGAAATCATTATTCACTTCTTCTGGCAGGTAGGGAGGGATTTCTTAGCGTTCTTCCTCCTTTTAAACAACCTCTGCAGCAAAGAAACATTAAAAGGTGGAAAAAACACACAATCTTGCGTGGTGGTGACATTGACAGATGTGATGGTGCGGGCTGTACATGACGTTGTGATTTTTTATTAATAACTGTGCACTGCAGAGCTCAGTTAGGAAAAGAAGGAGTGCCTGAGTGCGTGGGGAGGACAGCTTTGTTCTTTGGACTTGCAAGAGAAAGAACCTAACGTCAAAGGTAGAAATACAGGAAGGGAACAAGGCTCACAAAGGAGGCAATGGGCTGTGGGTGGCTCTGAGCATCAGGTACATGCAGCAAACGAGACCCCAGCCATCAGGTATCCAAATCAATTGACTTGGGTCAACAACAAGACGGGAGGAAAAGATGCTCTCAATTTGTGGAGCAGATAAGAGAAGTCCAGTTGTTTTAAACAAAAGGGTTTGGGAGTTTTTCTTTGCTGACTGTTATGGTGGATTACCCACAGAAAAATTCTTGGTCCCTTCCTCCAGCAAGGGAGTGTTCTTGTCCCCCCGGCCCACACAAATCACCCATGCAGAGGTGTGCAGAGCCAGGCAAGATGGGGAAGGAGGGATTCCTTCTCCAAAGCCAGCAAATGGCTGCAGCCTCGGAGGAGCTGCTCTGCAGGAGGACACGGCTGTAGGGCAGCCGGGCTCAGCCCCACACAGGGCCCGAGTGCCAGCGGGCCATGAACACACTGTCCCCAGCCACGCTGCTGCCCACCGAGGGGAAGGAAACCAAGCTCCAAAGGGAGGGAGGCAGGAGGGGCCCGAGTTTCCGGGGGCGGCTGCTCCCCAGTGTTTGTCATCATCCGAAAGAAGAGTGAAAGTTTTCACTCTTGGGATAATTATTAAAGACATCTGGGTCTTGCTTTCACATGCCCTCTTCTTTTTTGTTTTTTTAATTAACTGTAAACCCCATCCTGACTGCTAAACAGGGATCTGTGGAACTGAAGCTTGTATAAATGTGGTGATTTATGTTCCTTTGGAAGTGAACTGGCATTTCTGAGGAACCCCACCCAAGCCTAGCAAATACCATGGGAGTGCACTGACTCACTGGCTGCTGGCTTCGCTCCTCTCCCTCGATGGCTGGAGCCTGCAGCCAGTTTGGGCACATGTGAGACAGTCCCGGTAAGTGAACCCGGGTCCCCAGAGACACCTTACACTGAAGCAGTGCCTGCCAAAACCTCCGGAGAGGCTCAGAAGGGGAGAAGAGCAGCGCTGCAAGGCTGAGTGAAGCTGTAATCACCGGAGCGATGCTCTGGAGGAAGCAGCGTGCTGGCACAGCCTCTGCCTCCAGCCAGGGGAAGAACCTGCTGCCAATTAACAAACCTTCCAGTCACCCGAAGGCAGAGGAGAGCCCTGCCGAGTGGCCTGCCCGGCAAGCCTTGGCAGAAGCCCCTTTGCTTTGCTGCACCGTGAGAGCAGCCAGGAGGGTAGATGAGCTTGAGGAAGCTCTAAAAGAAATCCAGTGCTGCCTGCAGAAAGATCAGCCAGGCAGCAATACCCGCTGAGCACCTGACACAGAGGAGCCTGACTTACAGAAATATCAGTTCAGCCATTTGTAGGTGTGATCTTGGTTAAATAAATAAAGAAAAAGACATTACCACATTGTTAAAATGGCCCCTGCCTACTCAGTGTTCTGCTCCCTCACATTAATGCAATTGTGTTTGATGAATTGAATGAGAAAAGTCCCTGTTGACTGCAGTGCTCCCAACAGGCTGCAGAGCCACCCTTACAAGCTGCCTCTTGCCTGGCTCATGGGGCATGTCCCAGCTTTTGCATACATCCCATATACAACAAAGTCCCCTGGAACCACAAGTTCACTGCCCCAGTC